AAAATTGAAAAAAAAAACAAAACAAAAAAAAAACAAGAAAAATAATAAATAAGAAATAACAAAAGGAAGGAAAAGAAAAAAAAAAGAAAGAAGTAAAATGGTGGAAAGAAAATGACAATGAAAAAACTAAAAGAAAGGTAAGTATCAAAAATGAAATTAGAAAAAGGATGAAACAATATTAAAAAGAAAATAGATATTAAAGAGATAGTAAAGAAAAAAGGTGCAAGATAAAAGATTCAACCTAACTGGAAGGAAAAGGAAAGTATTTCATGGAAAGTTTCAATTGTTAGGAATATTTCTAAGAAAATTACAAATTTCTGTTAATATTAACAGATAAACACAATATAAAAAAGAAAAACATGAGCAGTAATAATGTGCTAGCTAAACTGTCTAGTCAATGGACTGCCAAAATCTGCAGTTACTTAAGTGGATTGATATATTGATTATAAAATTATTAATTATTATTGAAACATTAATTATATTTTCTGTACACTTTCTTTAAATTTTTCAGTATTTTTCTTCATTTGTGCAGGAATTTCGAAGAAAATAGGTCCGCAGAATCGCATTAACACTGCGAATGCCTATACATTGGTTACAATAGCCACCGGCCGACTTTACTGCAACATTTGCGCGGAAATTGGCAGACTTATTTTTAATGTGCGTGGATGGAATTTTTTCTTTATGAGATAACTCTAAATCAATTTACACATAATAATTTCAACCTAAACAGAGTTCCAGAGTTTTCACCAACATTTCGGGAGTGCTGAGATTCCAGCTCCCCACTTGTCAAAGGCCATTTAGGCTTCATTTTAAGCCCGAAAATCGGCATCACACAGTCGGCCGGCGACACTTCTTATTTAGGTTATAATGTAGCCTAGAACATTAGGCCTGGGCCTGTACAACTTCAGCAAAGTATCTTATACCTACATATATAATGATCTATAGTTTCATTTTCTTGTTCAATGGTTGTTGTTATTGAGAATTATTTAAAAAAAAAAAAAAAAAAAAAAACTGGTACGCCTTCCAACTTCGAAACTTAAGTATTAATCGCCAGAGAACATCGTCACACTTCTAGTGTTTACAAAGGTTTCGCGGAGTAACATATCCCAAACATTGCAAGTTGCCCCGAATGATGTAATATCCCAGCATTCTGATTGGTTTACAACTTGCAATGGACACAACATACCTTACTGGCCAGCCGGTGTAGTCGGGCGCACACATGGTTTGGGATGTTACTCCGCGAAATATAGTTTCGTAATTGGAAGGCCTGCTACCAGTTGTTGTTTTGTTGTTACGTTTTTTGTTGTTGTTGTCAAAACAAGAAACATTCCTTGTAGAATTATATATTTTTTATATATCTTATAGATTAAATTAACCAATTAATTCAATTGTTGCACTTTATGTGTATAAGAATTTAATCTTTAAATATTCATTTATATACAATTCAATTTTTATATTATTTCAAAACACGATTAAACAATCATTTTGCTTACTTTCTGCTGATACTTTGTTAAGAACGAAATAAATTGTTTGATGAAGGCCCATTACTAGTTGCCTATGAAATAACTCTGCTTACCGTCTACTACATTCAGTGAGAAACGTTCCCAATTCCAGGCTCCTCCTGGTAGACACAGACACCGAGGTTGCCAGACACAAGTCATTAGATTCTTTGTACGCCGCCGATACGAACAAAAGTAGGTCAGAAGCCGACTGGCTCGTTCAGTAAATAAATGGTAGTAAATGATTTGCTTTCTATATTATTTCATTTAATTAGGTTTCAAAATTTGCTGTGAGACCTATTTGTTTGTTTGTTTTTTGTAAATTTCAAGATGTTGCTCATTGAGATGCATGTTGTTAAACTATAGCTGCTCCGTGAAGTCTGGCTGAGGTTATCATCAAAGAGTATTTTATACCCTTTGTTATCATCAGCCATGTGATTGAAGAAGCGTAATCTTATTTCATAATGTATGAGGTTTAGGTAATTCGTTTGGTTTTCAATAAAAGATGTTTTCCTTCCGGTAGTACTTTGAATATAATCATCCAGATGATGCCTGTATTTATTTACGATCTATTTAGAGTTAAATTTTGATTATTGCTTGATCTGGGCCGTTTACATCGTATGAGTCAAACTGTATACGATCGTTTGAAATTTCGGTACATAGTCTATTTTATAAACAAATACGTTAAGGAAACGTTCACAATTACGAGGAGGTACAGGTAAGAGTAGCACTCAATAAAATAGTAAAAATCGTGCAATCCGATGTTTTTATACCAGTCTCCTTGGCTTTGACGGTGATCGCTTATTTACCAAGAATAAGATGAGTGCACATCGACACGGTTTTAGTGTACGACGTCACACTTTAACAGTCTAGGTCATGCTGATTGGTTGATACAGTACATGTAAAATGAATGAGAACATGTTTTGCATACTGCCTGACTGAAAATAATGGGCTGTACAAGTTGTAAATAATTGGGATTTGGAGGGAAACCACCTTCCTCCCGCTTACAAAATCTACTCGCGCTATCAAATGACCTTGTCGCACTGAGCGCGACAAAGTTGAATTCCTTGTCGCACCTTAAAAAATCAGGTCGCAAATGCGACCAAATAACCCTTAATTTCAAGCCCTGATACATTGTTTTATTGTACTTTGTAACTGTTTTTGAACAATGTGCTTGATTCACTGAATATAAAACCACATTTATGAGGTTCTCTGATGTTGTTTTATTTTTTATATAACATTGTAATCTACTTTCTTAGTTATTTATTTTTTACAATCCTTTATTACAACTCTTGCTCCATCAATTTTTTTTAATTGTTTAATATTTCGTTACTGTCTAAGAACAAGGGATTTTCCACATAAGGAGTAGAAGTGGTGCTCTTTATAAAATAAAGCTCTGTTCGGACTTGATTTTTTCTGGTCAAGCTAACCATGAACCTGGTGGTTTTGACCAAAAAACCCTAGTGCATAACATTCTCCTTGGTAAAATTACCCATATTGTGCAATAAGTTTAACCCAGGAAAAATAAACCAGGCTGTTTTCCCAGTGCAGAAAAGCATGAGTTGCAGTATTGTGCATAATGAAAAATTCAAAGTATTCTCTTTCTGACTTTTACCTGGTTCTTCCTATTGTGTGTACAGAAGGGTGAAGAGAATTTGGTTGCAAGTTTGTCTGCACCTGATCAACCAATCCTTGATTACAATATGGCTTTGATATGGATAATGGCAACAGGAACGGCTATTGGGGGTGCATTGTGGGGTGGAACAAGAGCACATAAAGCGTGAGTCTGAGTAATAATAATAATAATAATAATAATAATAATAATAATAATAATAATAATATTAATTATGATAATATGCCTTATTCAGTGGCATATATAGAAGTATTGAAATGGGGTGGGGGGCATGAAAGTGAGGTTGGAGGGCTTGCTGATAGTGAGGGGGTGCTAGCTGGCAAAATTTGGTGGAGGTTTATTTCAACTACTTTAGCATAATTTTTGTTGCTCCAAAGATTTTCAGTGGGGTAGGAAGTGGGGGTACAACCTTTTCTTTGGTGAAAGCACACACTAAATTGTAACTGTGGAAATAAAAATAAAAAATAATAATACATGTAGTGCTTAATATACAATGATAACAATGGCAGCATTGATGATGATAGTAATCATAATAATAATAATAATTAATGAATGTGACATCATGTAAACAGTTAATCCTACATTTTCAATAACATTCATGTCCACATTCCCATGGATACAAACTAGTAAATACTCAAGTTAAAAGCAGCCAGTATACGTTAATTTATGCATAAATTTTTCAGTGTGTTACGGAAGAAAAACAAGCAGCGTAGAAGAGCAGAGACAGTGGAGGATGAACAGACGAACAATGATGATGCTGATTCTGATGATAGCGTGCCAATTACTTCCATGTTTGTTATAATTTGGGTCTTCATGATTGTCATTGTTCTTTTACTCATGTTTTTCTTGTACGATTATTTTGGTAAGATTTCGAAAGACTTTACATTTATTCAAGTATATAATCTTATTTGCTTTTTAGAATTATTATATTAAGGTATTTTTTTTTATAGATTAATTTGAATATACCATTTATAGTTCTCCATCTAAAGTAGGAATGGTACACATAATAATTAGACACATGTACTTACCATAGGTTTACAAATATTTATGTCGTTTAATTGTTTTTATGAAAAAGCACAAACTACTTAGTGCTTCTTTGTGGTGTGACAATGAGCCACAGCAGTAGCAGTGGGCTTCCAATTTGAAGGTGGGGGGTTTGAATTTTATGCTGACCAATTCTTTGTGTTATAGGGCAAGGAATTGTATTCATGGTGTCCCTCCCCACCCTAGAGTTAAAGTGAGGAGGTGGGGATGCCAATTTACTGGTTAGATTTAGGTGTAAAACAACAGTGGTATTTAATTTTTTATTTTTGAAAGAATTGTAATTTTATTTTGTTTGTCTATGTTACTATGGTTTTTTCTTTAAGCTGTAATGTAAGAGGATTACCATGAAAATCGGCGATGCTGAGCTGTATGTCCTGGCTAAATATTAGTAAAGAAAGAAAGATTTGCTGTAACATTATGGAATACTTGCAGGAGCTGCATATGTGCTCACAGGTGTCTGATCACATGATTAGTGTAATAATTTGAAGCACATTGAGCCTCGACCTGATACACTACAGTATTTAAAACTGACATAAATATTAATTATAACAATCACTTTATATTTGATTTATCATATTATCACCTCTTGTAAAATGTTTTTTTTTCTTGTAGTGTATGTTATCATTGCACTCTACTGTTTGGGAGCTGTTAATGGGCTGTACATTTGCCTGTCACCATTTGTTTTAGCTATATTTCCATTTAAAACAAGGTATGGTATCAGATACTTTATATGTATCAAACAATATCTTAATTATATTTATGTTGTCACATTTCACAATTTAGTCTTTACATCTCAGTAACGCAAAGCATACTTAAAATTAGGTTTGAAACCCATCATGTAAATGTATGAAGTTTTAATATTTGTGGTATTAGAAGCAATTTTCAGAAGCGAGATCTAGCCAGCTATGCAGCGAAATACAAGTTCAACATTCTTGCGGTACAATCACACTACCTGGAGGGAAGCAATCTCATTCAAAAGAGGCCTGACGATAACAAACGCAGCTGTGACCTTTCTTGTACTAGACCCGCAAACAACACTAGTCATGGAGTTGGAATATTAGTTGAGGGTGAATTAAAAGCAGAGTTTAAGGAAATATCAGATCTAGTTATTGCAGCACGGATTAGCATTGAAAGTAGAGCTAAGCCTGGGCCCAGGCATAGACCGGAACCTAGGAATGTGCATTTCATATGTGCATGTGCACCAACCGTAGATCGTAGCGAACGGGAACCTTGGGTTAGAGATAGGTTTTACGAAGAAATACAGGAAGCCAAAAATCAAGCAAAGAATGGGGACATTTTAAAATTAGCTGGTGATATGAACGCTAAGATTTGGGGACAGTCCACAATGTGTAGGAAGATATGGTAAAGGAGAAACAAATAGTAATGGGACTAACTAACTAATTGAAATGGCTTTAAGAAATGATCTAGTAACACCATGTTTAAGCATAAAATGTCACAAAGGACTACCTGGGAATAAAGATACAAACCACACAGCAACCAGAAAAGTGGAGAGATTAGACTTAAAGAAACCAGATTGACTACATTCTTGTTAAGAAGCTACGCATGAAATTGGTCACTAACGCAAGAGCATACAGTGGTACAAACACATTTACTGGCCATAGATTAGTAAAGGCAACATTAATGTTACAGTGGTATAAATTAAACAGTAGCAACATTATTAAAGTAAACAAATAGATTTGACAAAACTTCGCAGTAGCGCAGAATAAAGAAGCATATCGATCAGAAGTATCACAACTTACTGTGAACATAGTGTACATGGCACCACAAGAAAAGTGTAACCCACTAGTAGACATTTTTCAGAGTGCAACATCCAAAGTTGTAGGCTTCGGGAAACCAACAACAAATACTACCTGTAGGTCTTACAGCAAACAAATACAAGAACTATCAAAAAGAAATAAGATGTGAGATCAAATCTACTAGTGACAAAGATAGGAAAACAGAACTTAGGAAAGAAAGAAATAGAGTTATAAATGATATACATACCAAATTAAATCAAGAGAAAGAAGATGCACTAAATGAAAAGATAGCTGAGATAGAAAAATGCAAAGATGACTCAACTAGGATGTACCAGGCTGTAAAAACCTCAAATTAAATTATAGTAAACGACTTGTAGTAGAAACAGAATTCGGTGTTGCAGCAAATGAAGACAAACAGGTGAAAACAATAAGTAGATTTTTCGAAAACGTATATCGCAAAACATAAGAGTCACTTAATAACAACATTAAACCAGCAGAAATGATTACTCTGTTCACGCGTAATGAAGTCGCTAAAGCAGCTAAATGTCTCAAAAATAAAAGTGCCGGAACTGATGACATTTTTTCTGAAATGATCCAGAATAAACCGATGGAAGTATATGACCACAGTAAAAAACCCAAAGAAATTAACGAAGGCATTTTACATCCAATTCCTAAACCAGGCAAATCAAGAGGTCCACTTAAAAACATCTGACCCATCACCTTTTGTCTACACTGAGTAAAAGTCTAGCAATATGTTTACTAAATAGGATAAATGATAGAATAGTTAAGCATATCCCCGTAACACAAGCCGCATATCGTAAAGGATGAAGCACTACAGAACATGTACATACATGTAAAATGTTGGCAGAAAAAGCCATTACTTCAACCAATTATGAAATAATATTATTGCTCCTAGACATGACCAGTGCATTTGACAAAGTGAGAAGAAATACGCTTTATGAAATACTTGCGTACATATTACAAGAGGATGAATTACACATGCTTAAATTTTTGATATTTGATGTTAAGCTAAGCGTTCGAATAGGGAACCAGGCAAGGAAGCCATTTACTACAAATATGGGTGACCTCAAGTTGATTGCCTGTCTCCTATACTGTTCACACTATATCTTGCAAAAGCTCTCCTGTACAGCAGATATCAATCCATCATCTTCTGTACAGCAGATAAATATTCACATGCAATATGCAGATGAAATCTCATTTATCAGCGACTCTAATATATAACAAAAGAAAGAAAAATGTTACAGAGAAATTATTAGCCTTAAAACCTAAAAATCAATGAAACTAACTAAAACTGAGGAATATCTAATAGGAAGGAATACAGATTGAAAATGGGAACACTGTAAATATCTTGGGAGTAATCTTGACACAGCGAAGGACATAAAAAGAAGAAAATCACTAGCATGGCTTACAATATTGTAAACAGAAACATGTCCATAGAAGTAAAGTGCAGATTGTTTGCTTCGTACGTTGCAAGTATTTCTCTATACAATAGTGAATTGTGGGTCATGAATGGATTTTAAAGGAAAGCATTGACATCTGTGATAGGAAAATGTTACGAAAGATGTTGAACATCAAATTCAACAGATAAGGTTAGTAACACAAGACTATACAACATAACAGAACAACAAGAATGGAGCACAAGAATTAAACGCAGGAGATTAAAATGGTACGGACACATAATTGGATTATCGGACGAAACTTTAGTAAAATAAAACAATGGAAGAGCTAAAACGGAAAGTAAAATGACAAGTAGGAAGACCCAAAATTAACTGGATGAGTCAAATTAAAAAAGAACTGGAAGGACATGTAAACACAAGCCCCCTATAACGAATCATTCTGCCTTGAACAGAAACGAATGGAAACAAATTGTGGAAAGCCTATTGTCGAAAGACGGAACACGTCATTAAGAACAATGTAAATGATTGCCCATGATGTTTTTGCTGCCCAAGCACAGTGACCTTTGAACCTTGTTTGTAACTTGATAACCATTGAAACTTTAAGCCGTCCAGACTATCATATTTTATTTGATGCAGACATGTGACATAAGGTCATGATGACATCACACCATGACCATATATAGGTACGTCCTTACTATATATGGGCATACAACAGTTTTTTGTCAAAGAAAATGTGATAAGGTGGACAGAGCTTTTAAGTGGCCTTTTCAAGCATAAAAGTATTTTGGTTCCTCGGTGGTAGGAAAAGCTGACCCTTCATTTTCAAGAATTTAAATGCTTGGACAACACAAACCCCTTTTTCTGTCTAATTACCAAAAACACTGTATTTTTTTCCTGTACTTACAGAATAGTTTGCTGTAGTGCATCAGATAAGATGAGGCCTCTGGTTGTGAGTGTGGTCTTGGTAGCAGTCTGTGCTTCATTTGTAGTGATATGGTTCTGTTTTCGTCATGCTGACTTTGCATGGATATTGTTGGATATGATGGGAATAGCGTTTTGTATTAGTATCCTAAAAACCATACGCCTCAGTGATTTTAAGGTAAGATTTTTCAAATCATCCATTTAAATTATTAAAGATGACAACCATCAAAATTGGACTGCACTGTTCTTAAACTTTTAAGCCATTAAATCCTATAGAGCCCATGCAGAAGCCTTTTGTTTTTGCCAGTTCTGACTGACTTTCATTTTACTTCTCTCCCTTAGACTTGTTTTCTTCTCCTGTCTTTGTTGTTCTTTTATGACATTTTCATGGTTTTTGTAACACCATACATCACAAAGGTAAGCAGTGTTCAATGTTTCAATAATTTGTTTTAATATACCTGTACTTGGCATATAATATACAGACTTTATTGTTTGTGTATGGCACACTCTATCAGGGAATTTCAGGAATTTCTGTCAGTGGGTGCCTAAAAACCATGATATTTTCATGTTTGTGTTTTTTTTGTAACACCATACATCACAAGGTAATCAGTGTTCAAGTTTTCAATAATTTTAAAAATAAATATGCAAGCCTTGGCAATCCAGGAATTTTCATCAGGCGAGTGCCTAAACACCTCTATCTATTCAGCTGGTTTAGCTTCTGTTGTACTTTACAGAGTGGTGAAAGTATAATGGTTGAAGTAGCAACTGGTTCAGGAGGAACTAAAGAACAGGTAATATGACTCTATTTTACCATCTATCCATCTCTTTACCAGGTAAATTTCCAGCCATTCATCATCCAATTGTCTATTTACAATCCATTCTAATCCATTCACCATTTTTATGGACAATTGTTTTTTTCTCTTTTGTTATTGTCTGCTTTTTCTTGCGTTGAATCAATTTCTGGACCATTGTTTAGATTGTTGACAACTTGTTTTCCTTTTCCTCCTAATAAAATGATTTTGTGTATATATATATGTACTGTACGTGTTAACAATTTGTACATCCTCTATATCATGACCATTGATACTTGTGTTGTAGATTCCAGTGCTGTTACAGGTCCCCCGTCTATGTACATCTGTTTACTCAGTGTGTAATGCGACTGCCTACTCAATGCTGGGTTTTGGTGATATATTGATACCAGGTGAGAGTTCAAGTTCTTCCCACATCAAATTTTATTTGACAAACATCTGGTTTGCCCATATATAGGCATCATGAATTCATATCACACCATATATGGACATGGGTATGTCAAATTACACCCATATTTAGGAAAACCACAGAAATTGTTAATATTTGATACTGTGGACAGAGCTTTAAGCTGGGTATGCGCTATCAGTTTTTGTTTGTCAGATTTATGCTTTTTTTTTACACTCAAACTCATATCAAACTGATCAAACAAAGTTTGAGTCTCCTTTCGTTCATCATTGATGGTTCTTGTTGTTTGACAGACCAACATCTGGTAAATGCCAGTAGACTTTGCATTGTTTATGTCTACATTTTGATGTTGTATAGTTTTTTTCTATTTGTTTCTTTTTAGGTTTGCTTATAAGTCACTGTTATGCATTTGACCTTAAAGTGAACAGCAAACGGATTTACTTAATCTCGACCAGCATTGGTAGGTCATATTCTCAGCATTACCTCATGTGTGGATGATTTGAGATGTAGCTAATGAGTTTTTTATTGATTGCTTGTGTGATAATGTAATGAATAAAGAAAGTTATTATGCAACAAACTATCGCCTACATTATTTAGCTTATGTATTCACAATTTTTAACTCTCGCCAATAAAAAAAAACCTAATAGAAATTGGAACTGATTCATGCCTTCACTTTTTATTTTCAACAATAATTGATGCTCCTACTGTGTTCTTTTACTTCTTTAAACTCATTCATAATTAAATGTGTTGTCATTGTTTAAATTCAGTTTTTTGCTGGTTTAATGATTGTTACAATCTTAAATTAATTACCAGCTAATTGAGGGAAAATTCTTTTCTGATGATTTTAAAGCAATGCAAAAATTAACATTTTGTAATCAGTGGATGTCAATCAATCGATCAATCAAGTGGCATTTACTTCACCAGTGACAACATATGTCTAAATATAATGTTTGTGAAAGCTATGAGAAGTGGAGTATGTACTTGTCATCTAAAAAGTACATGTAGCTAAATATACTTTTTTCAAGATTTATTGTTCCAGCTTATTATATTTGAGAGGAAATTGTACCACTTGACTATCAGATGAATCATGTTTAAGTGTTTTGCTCTAGTAATAATATGCCAGATTTTTAGCTCCGATGAGGAGCTCTAGAAACACTTGGCTGATTGATTAATAGATCTTTTTTGTATTGGTGGTCTTTAGGGCCAATATACTCTACTGACTCTATTATACTGCCCTTATCGGAGCTTTTGAGATTATGAGAATTTGTTATATGGTATATTAAGCCAACAAGGCCTCTATGCTCTTCACATTAATACTGCCATTGGAGCAAAACACTCAGTTCCATGTTACTATTGCTGTTAGTAATCAGAGAATTAGTGTTGAAGCCTACAGTGTACAGTATACCTACTTACAATTGGGAGGTTTCTATTGGACGACGAGGGTAGAACGTAATGACGTCACATAAAGTCACCTGCGCATGTGAGAACATTGAATCCTCACGGTCGCATGGATTCTAGGATGCAATTTGGCCAAATCTACGGTGTGCAGAGGACGTAAGACAGTCACTCATGGGTGAACTCGTTCTAGCGCCGTGTCATCGCGCAAATTGAAATCTCCCTATTACTAGGTGGAATGAGGGAACTGCAAGAACAGAAAGGTTGACTGTCTTCAAGTCTCGGTTGCTCGAATGTTTTTTTGTGCACTTTGGCTGTGGTTTCTTAGGGCATAGAGACGATTTTGTATTATGCGCTTTACAAGTATATCGCTACTACCATTAACTCCAACCTCTAGATTCAGTGCCCAACTCAAGCCACTGTGCCAAATGCTCAATATATATACAGCATATGGTTCAGGATTAAAAGTAATAATTCTAATGTTTCTTATTGTAGCTTATGGAACTGGTCTCCTCATCACCTTCGCTGCTCTAGCTGTAATGCAGATGGGTCAACCAGCTTTATTGTATCTTGTTCCGACAACTGTTGGAACAGCGTTAACAGTAGCAATGATCAGAGGGGAGGTTAGACATTTATGGAATGGCAATTTGGTAAGAATTCTTGTACCTTATTATATTGTTGTTAATCATACATTTCCTATACAGTAATTACTCTGTAATATTTCTATTTGTTTTTTTTTTCATTACAAAATGGCAATTTGTTTGATATTTTGTATTCTATTATGATTTAGTATCATTGTTATTTTTTTGTAAAATTATTTTGCAAATCTTACAATTATTCTGTATTTTTTATTTACATTTTCATTTTCACCACTCTTCGCAAAAGCCAATACATCCATCTGCCAGACAGGTTCTTATAGATATTCCAGTTTTTACTAGCACAATACAAGCACTTACAAATTTTGAGGCATGAAATAACATGTTAGAGATAGATCTTCACTTATTGAAAACATTACCTATCCAAGCCCTTTTGTCAATTTGATTAAAAAATGTTTCAAAATACACCCAATCCAACCTATCCCTCTTAGTCATGACTATAAGGCAATAACCCAATGCACTTTGTTAGTTTACAGTAATGTTCTTTCTTTTGAAGGATAAAAAAGATGAAGGTGATACAGTTGATGTGGGTACAGTGACAAGTAGTTCAGCATCCCGAGTGACCGAAGAAGGTCATGTGACCTGTCATAAAAGAAATAATGGAAGCAACGAGAGCTTGGAACCACTGATGGAGTCAGAAGTTGTCAATGTGAATTGAAGAGAATGTTGGTTTCCTTTGTTCCCCTTACCATGAACCATACACATTAGGGGCATTCCAGTACTTCCAGTAGCTTTAGTACTTTCAACCAGAATATAATTTTTGGAATGTGAAAATTGGAATTATTGTTAAAGTGTACTGCTGCCTTTTCTCTTTCACTGGCTTATTTAGGTTAGATAGAGAATGTATTTTACCTAAAGTTACTAATAATAATATTGTAGATATTTATAAAGTGGCATTTAAATGTCTGGGTGAGTATCATCCCCCCTGCTTGTTAATGGTGGAAAAGCTGTGTAAAGTGATTTTTAATGTTGATTTGCTATTTTATCTAGTCTTCTTTAATTATTGCAAACAGTATAATCAGTAAGGTACCATTTTTCAATTATGATTTTGATTGAAGCAATAGAAATTTATTGTTTAATGTGGATTGCTCTTTGACTATTGTGTCTAATCTATCTAGTATTTGCAAAAAAATATATAACCAGTAAAGCGCCATTTTCAATTATGTGTTAGACTACACCCCTCCTCCACATTTACCTGTAAATGCTTGATACACAGTTGACCATATTGCAGTCCTAATTAAACTACACATATCTATATCCAAGTGTCCCAAGTCACTTCTAGGAGATCTAATTTACTGAGCTATCATTCATCTTACTGTATATCACTGTGTGTGTTGATAGCCATGGCCAGATAATTAAAGGGAGACAGTACAGAAGAATAGAATTGCAAATATTCTAAATTTGCAGAAGGGGTCAGTTTCCTAGAAGTTTTCACTTGTTCAGTGGAGAGAGACTGCATCTTGTTGAAGAATTGGGACCATTTCAACCTAGAGAAAAATGCCTAATACACTACCTAATAATTAGAACCTAAAAAATCTATAAAATACAGGTGCTCCACTGTTTTTATGTTTTGAAATCATTTAATTTATGAATTCTTAGTTCCAAGAACAGATGGTTTGTGAATAATTCAGCCCATATTGACCAGAAAATGATTACATCAGTTGATTGATTGATCGATTGATTAAGACATAATTCATTTTGTTATCTCCTCCTTCTCTTGTAGTTTATTTTAATCCACGACATAGAGTGACATCAGCATTGTGTTGGGCAATTCCCATGAATAGAAACTGACCTGGTCTAAAGGAATCATTAACATTGCCTCAGGACCCAAGTCATTGGACCTCTTAGTGTAATTGGGGTTTACAGGACCAAAGTTTACATTTAGAATGCATTGAGCTATTCAGCAGTGTTGGGTTATTATTACCATAAAATACTTTTGTCTCTGCCCTACCATGGGAACACATGCCAGCTTTATACTTTATATAGATAGGTAGAAACTTCTTTACTTTTAGAATGCATTGAGATATTCAACAATAATAGAAATTTCTTTTTGTGGTTGTTCAATCAATGTGTGGACATTATCTTTTTTTTAGGGGGTGGGGGTGGCAGCTATTTAACTCTTAAATTACAAAAAAAATATATAAAGTTATTTACTATACAAATGGACTGGAGTCTTTATTATAAATGTCCTTGGTCTGGTATCAAGGAATGAAAAGAAGCAAGTAAAAAAAGTTTGCATGAATATCTGATGGTAGATTATTTTAGAATATTAAGTCTTTAAAATTAAACATTAAAATACTTACAGCAAATGATATATCAACATATGGTACAGAGGCACTTAATTTGTTTGCCAGTTACACATTAATATACAATTGTTTTTGTTCATTTTTGTAAATAAATACATTATACTTTGTTTACTTTGAGTATTCAAAAGCAAAGATACATTATTAGAAATAAGCTATTATATATACAGTATATTAACAATTTTTTTTGTATTATATTTATTGTTTTTATATAAAATTATACATCGATGCTTTAGATCTATGACAAATGATTTAAAACCATATGCTAATTATTTATGGCGTAAAGTATCCATATTTTTGTCAATAGCAAATAATGAAGTAAAATTGAATTTTAAAAATTTTGAAAATATGTGCTTATGTGAACAATTATGTATTCTTCATGTTCATCAGTGTGCTTTCATAGCAATAAAAGTTACAGTTCTAGTGGAACTAATGTTGCATTCATAAGTGTTGTTTATTAAGTTCGCTTTGAAGTCCGTCTGCCCACCTTTCCTGTTTAATTACAGTTACAGTAACAAATGAGCCTTGATTAATTATTGTCAAGGAATACATTTCTTATCTTTGCTGTCACAATTTCCTGCATTCATGCTGATGATGTGTTTAGCCTTAGCTACCTCTGAGAAGCAGTCTGCAGCGGCCTTGTTTGTCTTCATTCTCAATTTTAACAGCTTTTCAAGGAACGCTAGAGCTGTATGATCAAGGTATCCATCGAATGATTCAGCTAGCTGAGAATCATCACTTTCTTAAATATATGCAAGCTCATTTTCATTAAAAATTATAATACTTGTGTGTGAAAATAAGATACTTTTGCTGAGCAAAAAATAAATTTCAATATTGAATTATTGTACTTCAATAGACTTTAAGCAAAATTAGGATAAAATTATTGCATTTGCTAATAAAAAAAAATGCATAAATTGTTGCAATATTTGTATATGCTGTAGACCCTTAAAATATCTGATAATCTAAAGAATTTGGTAGTAAGTTAATCAGCAAAAAGGCCTTAGAAGTGAACTTTAAATATATTTTTTAAAAGGAGCTATACATTTTTTGAATATCTGCAAGATCATTAATTTCCTTGTTTTAAGTTTAGTAGGCTTTTATAACCAGCATAAAAAAGTAACCAATAAATGTTTTGTTTTATGAACAATCTGCTCCATCATTGATGCAAACTGGGACATTATTCAATATGAGTAAATTTCCCACACGATTAAAATCAAAACTGTACTGGGTTTGGTCTACAAGAGCTCGTACAGGTCATTCCATTCATAGAAGCCTTTAATGGTGAAAGCATACCTGTCAGCCACATTAGCCTAGGTCAACTCTGGCTATAAAAAAAATTGATATAAGATTGAAAATAATTAATC